TGCTGGCGTTGATGGACCAGACTATGCTGGCAACCAGTTTATACATCATCGGAAATGCTTTGGGATCAACAGCCCAGGTCTCATGGATCGCAAGCGGATATTTCATGTAAGCTTCATCAGCGCTGGTGCGAGACTACGCTAACAATGCCAGAACTTCCACAGTCGGGCAGCTCATGTATGGGAGATTATCTGATATATGGTCTCGCAAAATCATCCTACTACTAGGCCTCGCGATATTCTTCGTCGGATCGCTGGCCTCGTCCCTGGCACGGTCTGTCCTGCAGCTCACAATCTTCCGAGCCTTTACAGGTATCGGAGGTGGAGGGCTTATGACTGTGGCGCAGCTCATAGTGAGTGATGTAGTACCTCTGCGAGAGAGGGGGAAGTATCAAGGCATATTGGTGAGTTTGCTGTGACCAAGGCTTGTATCATCATGGCTAACAATATTTAAAGGGTGCTGTCGTTGCTCTCGCAAATGGCATAGGTCCTGTCATTGGAGGTGCACTCTCGTCGAGTTCTGCGGACTCATGGCGATGGATCTTCAGAATGCAACTACCACTGACGCTTTTGACAACGTTTTGCGTACTATTCTTCATGCCATTGAAGAAAGTAGAAGGAGATTGGAGACTGTGGGTTCCATAAATAATTGCTAGAGTTCCAGCTGACGTGATAAATAGCAAGCTGAAAGCCGTTGACTTTCTGGGCATATTCCTTGCCTTGGCTGGAATGACAGTGGTTATCTTGGGATTAACCTGGGGAGGAAAAGAGTACTCCTGGAATTCCACTCAGGTTATCGCAACATTAGTAGTGGGCACGGCTGTATCCGTTGCTTTCATGCTATGGCAGTGGAAAGGCCCTCGATATCCATTGATACCACGTAAGAAGCTCTATGCTACAACACAAAACGTTCTCTGACATCAATCCAGTGCATATTTTCAAGTCAAAGATCGTCAACGGTGCCTGCCTAACCATGGCTATCAACGGTTGGAACTTCGTCATGCAGGTTTATTACATTCCCTCCTTCTACCAACTTGTCTACGGCTACTCCGCGACCAAATCCGGAGTAATGCTTCTCCCCATCACTCTCCTCCAAACAGCCAGTAGCACTTTCTCCGGACTCATCGTACACTGGATCGGTCGGTACCGTGAGTGCATCCTGTTTGGCTGGTTGTGCTGGGCCATAGGTCTTGGTTTGATGTCAACTCTTGATGAAAACACGGGCATTGGAAAACAAATTGGTTATTCGGTACTTATTGGAGTGGGTGTTGGTAATACACTCCAACCGTGAGTCGAAATTGCGACCCTCAGATAGGCTTGATAAGTTGACTGACTGTGACAGTGCGCTCATTGCTACGCAAGCTGGGGTGGAGAGGCGTGATATGGCTGTTGTCACATCATTCCGCAAGTAAGTGACAAGCCCACCACGTAATCCGCAGACAAGTCTGACCAAACATGATAGTTTCGTGAGAAACTTGGGAGCTACACTAGGACTTGCAGTCTGCGGGACAATTCTGTATGTCAAAACCAAGGAATATTCTGACAAACATTCGCTGATGTCAGTCTAGGAACAACGTCTTAGCAGGTTCTTTATCCTCCCTAAACCTAGACGGACATGACTCAAAGACATTGCTCGGCAACCCTCAGACATTTCTAGACACAGTCTCACAAAGTGAAGCTGAAAAGATCCGCTCAGTTCTCATCCCAGCATACAGACAAGGATTCCGCATAATATTTCTTATAGGCGCAGGCGTCGCAAGCCTTGCATTCGTGATAGCGTTTTTCCTGATGCCGCAGGTTGATCTCACTCGACCGGACGACTCCCGGCTCAAGGAGGAAGGTCGTAAGGCTTATGAGGAGAGAGGGAAAAGTGCGGTGTAGTGCCGGTGACGCCGCATTACCTATTCTTCGTTTCTGCTTTTATGGGGGGACTTGGGTACACGAATCTTGTAGACAGTGTCAAGCCTTGGCTATCAACAATCGTTTTCTAATTTTTACTGTCAGTGTGACTAGACTGACGGTATATAACGGTCAACCGTGTGTTTCGCCCCCCTATGTTGGCCTTGTGATGGGTTGTGGAATTCGCCACTTCCTTGTAAAGCTGCAAGACCTTGTAGATCATAATCTTTTGTTGATAGAAGGCAAAGGGCACGAAATACGGTTCTGAGCACCGAACTGGGAATTCTGTATTGAGTTGAAGTCAACGTCTCTCCAGACCAGACGCAGTGGCTGAAATCTGGACCTGAGGCATGATGAGCTATCTTTGTTCCCACCATTACTTGATTCACTGTTTAGCCGCGTACTAGATGAGGTAAAGATCGATGTTCAGGCCGAGTCCTATTAGTTTGAACCCTCCATGTCTCCCATCATTATGGAGTTCTAGAACTTCTAGGTTTATGTGGTCCTGAAACTGTTGAGCTGAAATAGAGCTGAAGACAACACGAACGGTCTAAGATGTGTTTTTGTCATCTCAATAGAGTAAAGAACAACATCGCTAATTTTGTTTTTCTTATTTCAGAGGGTACCACTGTAGGCATCGTTTGCGGTTGAGTCCCCCTTGATAGTGGCGAGCCCTTGACTTGGTGCGCCAAGAAACCACTTGCGGTCTTCTCCCGTAAGCTCTGCACCAGTAACATATCGTCTTGACTCATATGTCTCACTGTCTCAAATTATAAGACCCCTGGTAATATAAAGATAACCCGTTTCGTGGTCATACTGTCAGGTTCCTCCCACTTTTTCAGAAGATGCGGCTATTATGACGATCATTTTACAGTTTGACTAGTGGACGACCCAATCACCTTTAGCGGAGGGGGACGGCCGAAGTTGAGGCTATTGGCTGCTTTTGCAGGATATGTTGAAGGTGCAGGGCTCTCATGTGCTCCTCGGAGAAAAGACTGGGGTTCATATGCGGACGTTGACAGACGTTCAGGTGATGGCGGCACGAGGTAAGCGGCCAATGATAGGTTTTACAGTCTCTGATAATTTCCTTACTGTGATTGACCAGGGGGGCTTTGTCAGGCTGCTCTCTGATATACCTCACGTCGACTCAGCCGAATTGTGCTTGACTTGATGTAGTTTTTCCTTCTTTTTCCCCAGAGCAGATACCGTTTTAGGGTAAAACGTGCCAACGGTCCTCAAACTCGAACCACGACTCCTCAGCATCATCTAAGAAATGGCCGATTTTAAAAGCCAAAACCATCAACGTCCTCTCCTCCCTGCTCCCGAAATACCGCCCGGTCCTGCACCCCGCCTTGTCCTCCAACGTTACCCAAGGGTAGGTGTCACGGTTGCTTGTGAAACCTGCCGCAAGCGAAAGATCAGGGTCGGTCCATCCTTCAAATCTTTCTCAAACATGTATCTAACCATTTATCGTAGTGCAATGGGAATCGACCGCGTTGTAATGGCTGCATTCGGGCCGGTTCCGAGTGCAATTATCCGCCCATGAATAGAGATCACGAGTTACGGCAACGTTACGAGCATCTACAAACTGAAAAGACGGAATATAAAAGGCTTGTCGACTTGCTACGATTACGAGACCACAAAGAAGTGAATGTCATTCTTGATATGCTCCGCCAAAACACGAGCGTACACGAGGTTCTTCGTCAGGTTGAGCATGGAGATATGCTATGCGGGCTGTCCCTTGCGTCTGAAGATAGGTATATCTTATTATTCTTTACTTCCTAGCCACGCGAATTCTGCAGTCATGCGTAGAGACCTTATGACTGACTCTGTTCTTAGAGTATGTAATAGCTCGAGCATATTACGGGCCGTCGAGAGCCCTCAGTCGCTGCCATCGGATAGCGACTGAGCAGGCTTTTCGACACACTCTCCCTAGGCTATGCTCTCTCTTGACCTTCCTCTTTTTCATCTGAGGTCATCGTCACTTTCTACAAGAACCTCTCTAGCATACCAACACACAGCTTCCCCTCCCTTACCTCACCCACCATAACCTTCTTTGATATTGCTGCATTCGTGAGCACCATGTGCTTCCATGCTAAACTCTTACTGACTGTTATCAAGTAACACCGTCACCGCAAACTCCCGTTCCCCGATTAGCTTCGAGTCCCTGATACTCCCAGACGAAGACTTCTAGAAATGGTTACATCTTTGAACAATACAAATGGCTTCTTACACTCCTTTCAACATCATCAGGCAGTAAAACAACTATATCATCTCGGTGGCCGATTTAGAGGCCCAGATCGTATTCACCCTAAGGACGATCCCCAACGGAATACGATTTACGAACACAACAACACGGGGTCCCCTGTCTCATGTGTCAAAGTACATTACGAAGCCTTTTTGTATCACGTTTAATGCTGCCTTTCTCTTCTTGAATTGTTAAAAACAAGAGCTCATCTTACTGAACCATGGCATTCTCTCAGCTTGTCCTTAAAGAGATATCACAAATCAAGAGGATTCACATCAACATAAAAGGACTACGGGGTTTCTCGGAACGTGATCAAATATCTGAGGAAGATTCTAGAATGAGCATGTTGGTGTGTGATAGGCTGGCAAGCTTGTAAGACACATACGGACTTTATGAAGGGTTCGCTGGAGGGTGGTGGGTTCTGCAGATTGCAGGGAGATAGTTGAACATTACCGTGTTTTTGTTTTATAGTTGTTGGATTGTAGTTATACAAGACTTTCGTTATAGAAACATTTCGTAGCACCATCAGGTGTGTTACTTTTTCAGTACCTTCACTCCGTCTCAATCAAGGCGCCACCAAGCAAGCGAAGGAGAAATGAATATACTACTTACTGCATGTAAGCGTGTCATGAACTTATCTATCAGATTTTGCGGTAAGTAAGTTTGCGGAATTGGGTAAACCCAAGTCTACGAAACTCATTTGATCCTGTTGCTGTTATAATCGTACCCAAGCGACAAGTTGGTGGCTCCCATTTCGTCATTGAATGATGACTAAACCAGATATGCTGCTGCATGTCATGTCACCCCATCCAATGGTTTTGTTCCTCAAAACACTTCATTTACATACCACTTCACCATGCCAGAATCAACTGAAAATTTGAGGCACACAAACAGAACCTTGCGTATCTTGGAAGATGCTGTCAAGGGTAATTACGGGGTCTTGGCAGCAATATGGTTTGCCTTCCGAACCATCGTAGGCGCTGCCTACTGACCATAACACGTAGTTACAATTTTGAACATCTCACAGCTATAGTCAAAGCAGCCGAAGCAAAACGATCTCCCCTGATTCTCCTCCTGTTTCCATCCACTCTTAGACAACTACCAACTCTAGCCTGGGCAGCATCCGCAGCTATAAAATCAGCGACCATTCCGCTCTCTCTACATCTCGATCATGCACAAGATGTATCTCAGATCGAAGAAGTTGTTAAAACTTTGCCTTTCGACTCGATTATGGTTGATATGAGTCACTATGACCACGAGGAAAATCTTGCCAAGACCGCCGTACTGACGAAGTTGTGTCATGAGCGGGGTATCGCTGTCGAGGCGGAGAGTGGACGGATCAATGGAGGGGAAGATGGCATCGCTGATACTGGCGATCTTGAAGGTGAGTACGGCTCATCACTCTGGTAGCTGAGGTTAACATTGCGGCAGCTCTATTTACTTCTCCCGAGGAGATAGAAGACTTCCTCAAAGCAGGCATCAACATCCTGGCCCCAAGTGTTGGCAATATTCATGGTGACTATGGTCCCGAAGGACCACGACTTGACCTTGCTAGACTCGCATCCATTAATCAACAGATCCGCGGACGTGCATTCATGGCACTTCACGGGACAAATGACTTCACCGCTAAGATCATGCAAGACTGCATCAAAGCTGGAGCCGTGAAGCTCAATGTCAACAAGTTGCTTTTGGAGATTTGGCACGTCCATTTGAAAGAAAAGGCACAAATTCCTTTTATGCAGCGTGTAGATGAAGGGATAGAGATACTACAGGCTGAAGTCGAGAGATGGATAGATATTTGTGGAAGTGCTGGCAAGGCATAGTCAAGCTCACAAGACGCGACCCTTGGCAATTGAAAAGTACTCAGCAGTCAAGGACAAGTTTCTCATGGCTACCCTTTTCAGGTGTTTGATATTGGGTTTAGATGCGTTAGTAAACGATTTTCTTTTTCGTGCTCTGGTGCGCGCTTCCAGAGAACTATGTTATATTTACCCTTCCGGAGAACTATATTATATATATATCATCGTAACATAACTGTGTCCAGCATGAAATAAATAAATCACACAAAGACTTAATCAAGATTGCATATCAACTCTCGACAGCGTTTGTGGCTGCCTGTCTATATCTTTATGATAGAAAGAACACATTCTGACATAGAATATGACAATCTTATGACCACTACATACTATTCTTCATCACTGCCAACCATGAAGAAAGTGCGATCAGGTGCAGGACTTTGGTCAACTGTCCCTCGGGACCCCAGTGAGAAATATTTGATTGCGGGAGAGAAGAAAGGATTTAGCTATACAGGTAGGGAGAAGACTCCCTATCTATAGAAGGACCCAGGACCTCGTCTGGTGGCTACTCGCCGATTAGTGTTATAGATCTAGATCATGTATTCAAGCTTTTACGATTTAGAACTTAGGTTTAACAAGACGTGGTTGGAATCAACATCTTAGCCCGATACTGAAAATACATTTGCGCTAAGTCAGGCTTACCATCCAAATCATGGGCACTCAAATCAAAGAACAAGTTTGATAAAGCTAAAGTATTCTACTAAGATTGAGTCTAACAGAGTATGTATTCTGCTGTCAAAGTCCAACTTGGCAGCAGATTGAGCACGGTTAGCAAACTCAAGAAACACCGATGCTTTGATTCCAGTACCTTGATGAATAAGTTAATTACGGAGGTCTGTTCCTATCTTTTTCCGTGTTTGCGAGGTCATTCGGTGTCGCTTACACCAAATTTCGATGGTCGTTCAGTGTACGGAGCCGAGGGTGGGGCCGATCCGGCACCAGTTCCGTTGCAAAGATACGTATCCATCATGGAGAACACCCGACGGCTACACTGAAGACTTCAGAACAGGTATTACAGCTCTAAAAGTCTGCTGCAAGTGCCTATGAGTTGGGGGCTAGTGGGAATAAGGCTTAACAATGAGAAATTAATCTGGTGAGCAGCTCAGGAACAAAACCCTGTGAAAAGGCTTTCTTCGTCCTCAGGGAGAGACCCCACGAACAGAGGAGCTCAGAGCAATGACATCAATGACCCTGTCCTTGTGGTTAGTTCACTCAAAGTGCCGACGCTGACGAAGATTTGCCAGAAGAGGTAATCTCATATCAAGAGCAAAAGAGTGAGTCCTTGAGGATCATATACAAAGCAGACGATACAGCAACAACTGGAGTATTTCCCCATGGAGCATTCGGAGACGGGCTGATTACAAAGACTGTTGTCACAATCGCGCAATGTGCCTTGGTCCAATGTGGGTTCAACCTCCACCAACTTCGGATTACCAAGCCAAATCCAGCTGTACAATGAATAATCCATCCAATCCCCAGAAAAAGGAACCCCTCACTATGCCGTAGCTCTACAGATGTAGTATTTGTAACCTCATATCATCATATAAAGTGCCATTCCCCTCATTCAACCTCATTCTCGTATCTACACCCTCAAATTAATGACATCGCGCATCACCCAATTGGGAAAACAACTCTTCACAATGGCTCAAAAGACCAAGACCGACATCACCCTCTACACCACCAACACGCCCAATGGCATCAAACCCTCTATCCTGCTCGAGGAGCTCAACCTCGAGTACAAGGTAAACCCCCAATCTTTCCACTCATGAGTACCACTAACAAGCTCAGGTGTATCCTATCAAGATGACCGAGAATGAGCAGAAGGAGGAGTGGTTCCTCAAGATCAACCCCAACGGTCGCATCCCGGCTCTCACTGATACCCTCGACGGCAAGCAGATCCGCGTTTTTGAGAGTGGTGCTATGCTGCAGTACCTCGTTGATCGCTACGATAAGGACCACAAGCTTTCGTTCCCTCATGGATCTGCTGAGCATTGGGAGATGACCAGCTGGGTGAGTCTTCTCATTCAAACCGTCAGATCATAGCTAACAGTTTGCAGCTCATGTGGCAGATGGGTGGTCTCGGCCCCATGCAGGGTCAAGCCAACCACTTCAAGCGTATGTTCTCACTTATACGATTCGTGGTACTATACTGACAGCACAGGCTACGCTCCCGAGAAGATTGAGTACGGCATCAACCGCTACACCAACGAGACCCGTCGTCTCTACCGCACTCTCGACACTCACCTCGCCCAGACAGAATCCGGCTACATCGTCGGCGACAAGGTGACCATCGCCGACATTTCCATCTGGGGCTGGGTCTCCAGCGCAAGTAAGTCTTCCCTCTCCCCGTGCATCACCACTACCGTTTCCTAACACCCAACAGAATGGGCCGGTGTTGATCTCTCCGAGTTCCCACACCTCGAGAAGTGGCTCTACAAGCTCCTCGAGCGCCCTGGTTTCGAGGCTGGCCGACATGTTCCTACGCGCCACACAGCTTTTGAGCTGGCCAAGCTGAGTGAGGAGGAACTTGAGGCCAAGGCCAGTGCGTCCAAGGCTTGGGTTCAGGCTGGTATGAAGGAAGATGCGAAGAAATAAATAATGAAAGCATAAATGAAGCGTAATACATTCTGTTTTGACTATATCTCGAATCACCTGTAGCTGTCTTACTTCTTCACAACAGCCAATTGGCTTCGAACTGGCACGTTCTCCTCCCGACCAACCTCGGGGAATCCCTCAACCTTGACGCCTTTGCGGAAGATAACACAATGCGTCGAGCCTCCAAAGTGGAACATGCCCGTCTCCTGTCCCTTCTTGACGTGCTGTCCCTCCTTGACGGTAATCTCACATGTACTAACCTCATCCATACCAATACCAACGAACGCAATGAGTCCGATCGCCGGCTCGTCAGCCTCAATCAGAATGATAGCCCTCGTCGCCAATGCACTCAGATATCCCTGACTCTGCGATAATCCCGCTGACGAGATCTCCGTCGATCCAGGCTCGCCTACACCTTCGAATAGAGGCTCGCTGAAATACGTTCCGTCTTGGACGAAGGCACGTACGACCTTACCGGATACGGGAGTGTGCCAGCGGTGGTAGGAGAGAGCGGACAGGAAGGCTTGATAGATGGTTCCGCCGGCGAACTTCTCAGCGAGAGGATCGTGAGCCAGCATATCGAGGATAGAGTAAGGCTGGCCCTTGGCAAAGAAACGGTCGCGGAGTTTCACGTCGCGTTCGATGTTGTAGACGCGCGATTCACAGCAGTTGGCGATGACAAGGTCGTCATCTGGTGAAGCAACGGGACGAGCGCTGTCGCGAACCTTGCGAGTGAAGAAGTCTACCAATTGTGAGCTATGGTTCATACTGGCGAAGCTGTTGACTTACCATCCCAGGACTTGAAGCCGTAGTATTTGGCTGAGGGATCACACTCGAAGACCTCCTCAAACTTGAAGTTTGTCTTATTTGGCTTGTTGGCGACCTCGACGAGGTCATTCAGACCTACTGGGCCAAACCAACCTTGCTTGTGATCTCCCAGAACCTTAGCAGATTCAGGCGTCTGTCTGTCGTCAGTATTACTCTCAAGATAAATCATATAGATCAACATACCATAAGAAACTTGCCCCAGTGGTTGAGAACCTTCTTGAGCATGCGATTCACATCAGGGTCGAGAAACGCCGCATAACCACTATCTCACTCATCAGCAATCACTTATCAATCCCATATCACATAAAACTCACCTGGGCGTTCCCATAGGATAGTCAAAGATGGCACAGAGCGGCACGCCTACCATGCCCACGCTCTCCGCCGCATCCGTCCACTCTGGCGCCGTGCTAAAGATGTGATTGAGCACCTGCAGCATATGCTCGTAGTCTCTCAACTGAGGTGTTCCAGTAGGGTCATTCTCGTACGGATGTTTCTGGGGGATCTCCTCAAACATCTGGATGAAGTACATGTACACGCGGGGCGTCTTCTCGATAAAGTCCTTGAACTCTTGGAGAACGGGGGTGAGCTCTTTGGGGTTCTCATCAGCGTGTTTTGTGACGCGGCGCATGTACTCTCTGTGCACGCGATGGTCGGCGGGAAGCCATGCTCCGGGTCTGTGAGTGTTAGTGCATGTTGAGCTTGTGGTTGTGGTTGAGAGTGTAGGTCCTACTTGTGAATCCGGTGCTTGGCGGGGATTTTATGATGATCTCCGTGCTGATGAACCATTGTCACTGATGATATCTTGCACTGAAGCAATTGTAAACATGTAAATGAATTTTAAATGCCAAGAAAGGTTCCAGGAGATCTCCCGATCTATGTATAAATACCCCATAGTCTACCAAGTTCTCAAGCCCAGATCTAACTCACTCTCCCTCTCCCTCTACGTCAGCATCTCGATGATGCAAACTAACAAGCCAAACTCCACACGCGGGCATTACCGCATCGCATCAGATCCGAATTACCCGTTTCTGGAATGCCGTTATCCGTACGCAATTCCCTGATAATTATTGGTTTTTAATAATGAGAACCGCATGAATTCACGCGAAATTTCATGTGCCGATCTCCCGATTGCAACGCGTACTGCCAAAGGGTAATGATGACGTTGTGGGCGTTTTTGAGACCGGGTTTTCCGACAGACGCTTCAGAGCTGAGGGGTAACTTGGTGACATTGGGGTGATAACTCGTTAGAACAAACTCGTTTCGATATAGAATACCTGATATTCAGCTGGAGATGCTTAATCTTCATGCCAGACACAGGTGAAGAATCCTTCAAGGTTTCTTGGCACATACCTCTTCAAGGCTCAAAGAAACAAGAGACTGAGGTCATTCACAGACACGGCACAGCATCTAATAATTTAACGTCTTGTTATTGATTCACTCAACTTCGCTCTCCAAAATCTCTAATAACAAGATAACTGAGCAGGTTCCAGTCGCTAGAACAAGCTCACGCCAGCATCGCCCAGACTCTCGCTCACTCACTCACTCACTCACTCAGAGCGACTCCGATCCCAAGGCCCATCAATTCTATCATCCCACTGCAGTTCATGTCCCCTCCTCCTTTGGCAAGAATATAACAAGAAGTACCATTTTAACGGCAAAACCACTCAACTATCAAAACGCAAAACAAGAAGCTCAAACGCCGATAATTAAATACAAATAATGAAGGACTCCGGGAAAGACGTGTATCTCTCACATCACCAGATCTCAGACAGCCTACCGCTTGAGCCTGTCAGGTCGGTGAATGCTTGACCTTTCCGCGAGTGAAGTGATTGTCTCGGTGACAAGGTCGCTATCTTTTGGTCCGGATGGGGTGGAACGGATCGCTAAAGTTGTGACAAAGGGAATGGCAGTTGCGTCGCTAAAGAGATAGCAGGCTGAGTTGGTATGATACGATTTAACACAATGGCTGAATGCAAGCAGATTGTAAAGGAAATTCGTTACGTCGTAAGTGCTGTCAGACACGTAGGGAAGGGAATGGGCATCCTCGATATCGTGGTTCCGTCGGCCATGGGCAGGCTGGGTGAAGACCAAGGCTTTACATTACTACACAGCATCCGCAGCCTCCCTTGCTGTCGTCTTCAGCAGGTTGTGGCTGTTGCGGGTGTTGCTGTACTGGTCGTTCAGTAGATGATTCCGGCTTCGATTGTTCTTGCGCTGGCGCTTGAGATGCGTTGGGTGCATTGGGCGAAAGAGGTGTTCTTGGGCTTGGAAGTGGACTGTTCTGGGGCTTGTCCGAGATCTTGGGCATAGTAGAATATCCACCAGCGCGTTGAGTTGGGCTTTTTGTAGGCTCCAGCTTGAGCGGCCACTCGCCTTCTGGTGGTGATGCTTCTCGTTGCTTCTCGTCGGTCTCCTCGGACTTGTCTGCCTGGTCGGCTTGATCCGGTTTGCCGAATTCGTTGTCGTTCAGCGGTCGGAAATCCTTATCATAGACATCTCCAAACTTTCCTTCCTTCTCCCACTTCTCCTGTTGTAGGCGTCGGGCGACAGTTGGGAGGAGTTGTTGATCAGGTGGAAGTCGAGGATCGGGCTTGTACGAGTTGATCATCCACGGAGGATCGCCTTCAGGCGCCTTGTTTCCTGGAGACAATTCACCAGATCGGGTCGAAGGTCGGGTTGAGATACTGTTTCCAATAGAACCAGACCTCGTCTTCGGTCGCCCCGTCGCTGCCGTGCCTGTCTTGGAGGGACCAGACGTCTTTCTTGGGCCAGTCGTGGCCTTCTTGGGCGAAGTATCGGTGGCGGTTCGTTTCGGCGTGGGTAAACTATTGTTGTGATTGCTATTGACCGAAATGGCGTCGAATCCCTTCATCATGTGCGCGCTTCCAGGTCGAGTCTTTTCATTTGTCAAATTCCGTTCATCGTCGGGGCTCTCGCTCGTTTTCCTCGATGCTCGCTCGAAACGATCAACAGATATGGGCGCTGGACTAACCTTGGCAACAGGAATGCGAGAGCCTCCTTTGTGGCTGTTTGAAGTGAAGTAGGCATTGCTTTCCTCCTCCGCAATCTCTTCTGGGGTACGTAAATCCCACGATTCGCCTGCGATCTCGGGGTTTCGTCCTTCGACGGCTGTCGAATTCTTTCGGGATCTAGGGCCATTTTCCGAGGCGTCAGTACCACGGCGCATAGCGCTGCGGCTTCGATCTCGTCGTTGCTTGCTGTGGTTGCGGGTTCTGGGAACAAATATGCCAGCAGCCTGAAGCTCTTCACTTTCTATCCTTGCCAGCTTATCGCGGTGAATCCACTTGGAACCTTCGTCAACGACTACTACTTCTCGGTCGATAGGTACCGCATTGCGGCTGTATTCGTCTTCGGTCTGGGGGCCAAAGGTTTGCCCCCAAGAATTACCGTTCAAGGCCGGGCTAGTTTTGGATTCACTAATGTAGCGCGCTCCGGCCCCGTCCACAGAGTTGTGAAGTTTGGCACTCGAAAGGTTATCGTGAGAGTTCACTTTTCGGCCAACTCGGTCCATGCCCGAGTGGTAAGAATTCGAATTACCATTTTGGGTAGTAAAATGGTTCTTTTGAGGGTAGTCATGGTTCGTGCCAGCGTTCATGTCGTTATCAAAATCCTGGCAAATCATCAGCAATCTCGCCCCGAGAAAAGTTGGGGTAGCAGCCATCATGTGGCGACTCCAGCACTTCGTACCTCCTTCTGGGGCATATTGTATCCCCACGAGTCTGAATGACCATGACTGCTGCGCGGCGGAGTAATGTTCTCGGTTGAGGTCGGTCCGGGTGCCATTGTGGCCATATTGATGGCGCCCGCGACCTCTAGAAATAAGAGATTTGAGGATGCGAAGAGGGCAGCAAACGGAATGGCGTTTGTTCTAAGATGTTGATGACCGAAAATGGAATGATGTCGTTGTCAATGCTACCGAAATTCGGAGTAGCAACTATCGATTAAAGGAGAGGTATTGCTCATAGACGCAAGCGGCGGTGCGTATGCGGGTCGGGATAAGTAACGAAGGATCCGGTGATAAAGGGGCGGTTAGACGGCGAAGAGAAGTCGATAAGATAACTTTTGGTGGATGGAATAACGGAATAGACTTGGGGTCAGCCAACAATCAAGATATCGTCGTCACAGAGATATCATGGCTGGGACGATGAAAGCGCGTCGGGCTCCGAGAGAGCTGTGCAGAGAAGAGAGGGTAGAACAAGAAGACAAAGACAGACGATCGATCCATGGGAGATTTCCATGAGGGGGGCTGGTTGGTTAGGCTGGCAGGTTAATATTGACACTGTGTTGGCGAGCAGCACCTGAATGAAGCCTGCCTAGCCTGCGCCTGCGCCTGCACGGCCCCTCTGCCGGGCTCGATCCCCTGTAAGCCCCCTGTACGGAATCAGCGAGCTCTTAGTGGGCATTGACGGAAATACAGTTGTGATTTGACAAGGATAGGGAGAAGGAAAGCTCATGTGGCTTCAGATGGGATATGAGTTTGAATGATGGAGAGACATTTGTTACGAGGCAGGTTAGAGCTTGTTTGTCGTTTCTTGTGAGTACAGTAACTCGGAGAGGTGCACACAAGTCTAGAACCATGCTCCAATACGAGCGAGGAGACATGATTACGCCACGCCTCATGTACAATCAACACAGACCATCCACTGATATCCATAGCATTGACAACAGAAAAGCTCAGATAAAAGCATTCATTCAATTATAGAAGACCCCCAGGCCATCATACATACATACAGTCTGCGGTAAGCCCGGTCCCCTTAGTTGCCGCCGCCGGTTGTTTCATTCTGATTGCTCAATGGGTAAAAGGGAGAAGCTCGCGAGTGGAAGGGGAATAAATCAACGTTTCCCCCTGATGAGAATAAGCCGCGCCAGGGTTCAAGAAGCCACTGACAGGGACTCATTTGATGAGGCCGGGTCTTTTGTTGCTTTTTCCTCACCTGTAAAGCAAGGAATTGCTTGGTCACGCATCATGCACTGGAAACGAAACTCACCGTTGGGAATAGGCACGGATACATACAGTACATATGCTCACAGCAAATCATCGTGCCCTCATGTTATTATAATTCATCTGATATGGGGAGAAATCGGCCTCTCCTAACTCAATGAGTTGATACCGAGATTAACTTCCCTCCAAAAGCCTGGCCCGTTGCGCTGGGAATGGAACGTTGTCAGCTGGCCCTGTCGATGAATTGACAGGGGATGTATTAGCACCTACGAATCAATGCCTTGTGATGAAAGCTCTAAGCTTCTCATTAAGTACAAGGGGGGAAGAAGCAAAGAAAAACACAATAACTGTCAAACGTCACAATCTCCGTCCAATCCCCAAAGATGAAGTCATTGCGAGAGAACAAAGAATAAAAGCAAGAAAATGACAAGCAATGCCTAGACGAGACGGGAAGAAGTTGGCCGCCACAAGGTGAAGAGGTTGCCATTTAGGGTCCTTTTAGTGCTTCTAGCGCTCATTAGCGGCACACTGTCTGTGCACTGTACGCTGATTTTGAGACAGTCCCACAGAAGTCAACGGCACTTGTTTCTCCAACATCTCGGTTCATTTATCGCAGCCTCCGTCACTATTAAAATTACGTAGCATTCTTTTTCCTTGCTGGCTTACACGCCGAACCATCATCCCTTGTTGATTCCTGCGGCGTTGTCTGTGCTTTGACGTTGACAGTTATCCGCTGCGATAATATCTCCAGCCTTGATTTGGTGTTGACTGAGAGAGCCTCCATCAATTGATCCACCATCTGCGCTGCAGCCTGCACATCATCCTCGCATTCCCGGGCACAAGCGAGACGCTGAACCTCAATTCAAACTCAGGGACGACAAAGAAACTTCAAAACGTGCTTTGGACGGACGCTCCCGTCTCGGAGCTGCACTAATCTCCCTCGCAGTTGACATCTCAACCACTGGACATGAGCTTATCTTCCATTTTCTGAAGGGGACCAAGAATTTGTCTTAGACAACTCCGCAATCGCATGGCTGAAAGTCTCCATCAAACCTCATTCCTCACAACTCACAAACGCTAGCATTTACACTTTCGGCTCCTGACTTTAGACAAAGTCAACCAAATCCTTGGGTTCAGTTCAACGTTGGAGTAAACGATTTCCATTTCCGTCGACGCCATGGCAGCAGCTGTCATGAGGAGAAGGACTAGAATTGTGTGTATCTCAGATACCCACAATTGCCAGGTCAAGCTCCCCAAGGGTGATGTTCTCATTCACGCTGGAGATTTGACCAACCAAGGGAGTCACGCAGAGGTCTGTAGTTCTGGCCCATATGCTCCTGGTGGTCCTACGAAGCACCGAGGCTGATCTCTTTTCAGCTTGCCAAGACAGTTGCTTGGTTGGAGAAGCAGGACTTTGAGGCCAAAATCGTCATCGCTGGTATGCCTCCTCATGGGACAGTGTAACAGCCTCTGACTGTGACTATCAGGAAATCATGACCTCACTCTAGACCCAAAGTTCTACGCTGAGCATGGTCTCTACTTTCACAACAAGAATCCGCAGTCTCATGACGAGTGTCTACGATTGTTTACGTCTTCGCCTTCGTTAACGTACCTCTCTCATGAATCAACCACTATCCGCCTCAAATCTTCTTCGGGGCCGCGTACGCAATTCAAGGTCTTTGGATCGCCTTACTCTCCGCGTTTCGGGTTATGGGCTTTTTACTACGATGCTCCTCAAAACCCCGGCAACTGGTCAGATCTGACGTCGCTTTGGCAGTCCATACCACTTGACGCAGATATTGTGGTGACGCACACGCCTGCAAGGACGCATTGCGATGAGACGGATGAGCGTCGCGCTACTGGTTGTGAAGCTCTTCGACAGGCGCTTTGGCGAGTGAGACCACAGCTTGCTGTCTGTGGCCACATTCATGACGGAAGAGGTGCTGAGAGAGTGAAGTGGGATCTCAGTTGTCGAAATGTCGCCTATCAGGAAGAGAGTGTCGTACGCTGGCAAGACCCTGGCGAAGGCAATAACAAAACCTGCCTCATAGATCTGACTGGGAAGAAGGCCCCGTCTCTTGCTAACGATGGCTCCCATCCAGGTCGATATGGATCAAGCATAAGAGAGCCTGACGTGACGGATGCCCCTCGTTCCGTTGACTCAGCAGAGAGCTCTCCATACACCTTCGGATCTGGCCCAGCTGATATACACGCCTCTCATGGCACTATTGGATTGGGAGGGCATCCCGCCTCACCACGGAGCGACCAGGCAGCTCTCGCTGGGAGGATGGGTCGTCGAGAGACGTGTGTGGTGAACGCAGCGATCATGAAGAGTCGATATCCCCACATAGGAGGGAAGCAGTTCAACAAGCCCATCGTAGTAGACCTAGATCTCCCCATCTGGGAGGACGAGGGCCATATCGAAGCCCCGTGATTCGCTCTTGGCTTACCCTAGACTCAGGCTCGTGTTGGTGCCCAACGAACCACGTTGGGAAAAGAGAGATGGCCTCAAAGAGAGACGAAGCGAGAGCTTTCTTGATGAGTTTACAGACGGTTGTGGGCTACTGATATGTTTGCTACGCTGTGACGCACCATCTGCATTATGCTGGATCGGGATGCAATTGATCAATGTGGTTGTATCCGTCGCGAACCAACATTGGGCAGCCTGGAGTCGTAGTCGGATCCAACGGATGAACTGTAATGCAGTCGTAGTACATGAACGTGGTCCCAATGGTTGTTCGAGGTGCAGAGGAGTGAGACCTAATTGAATATTCGATTGAATGAAACCTTGTTCTCATCAATGTATTACAATGTCGCGTCATGTCTTTGGCATGTAGTGACTCGACTCTAGATGGCTACCCTAGACCGATGCTGAAGCTCACGATCAGCTCTCAAACCAAGAAAAAGAAGTTCCGAACATCAGGGGATGATCAGCTGCATAAGCCAGTCACATCCCTTTCCCACCAATGCCATAGCTGGCATCTACCAAGTCCTCGATCTTACGGTGAAGCCATTCCCCTCCCATTGAGACGCCAAGGAGACAAAGAAATCTCATCCCTTGCGACATGAAACAGGACCAATCCGATGATAATCCTCCACGTGCCTATAGCATTGACATCAACCAAAAACTCTCCTTGCTCATTCATGGTCGTCCGAGTTACAGAATCAAAAGAGGGATCCAATCCAAACAAACAAACCAATTGAGCCTGATGCTGCGGGGAGCCAACAGGGCTCCGCCAAGAGGGGCGCCATATCCTCACATTCTCATTCCTGCTCACCGCCAGTCTTTGTCGTGATACCCTCAGCCCAATAGCGTGGCTTAGGAGCCCCGTGTTTTTTCTATCTTGGGAGCGGCGAAGCCAAAGCATTCTTGTCTCTTTTGAGCCTGAAGCCTGATGAATTCACACGAGCTAGATCAGGTACGGTAGTTCAACCCCGCGTTTACCGCTCGGGAAGAAGCAAAAGAATTTAAAACATGGCAGACGATGATCTTTCCAGGTACAGGCACTTGAGGCATTTGACCGACGCGGGTGCATGCGGGATGTTCCTTGGAGTCTGGGAGGTCATTAACTAGACGCGTGCGAGGGGTCATGACATCGCCAATCGCGGGATCGCCAAAGGGTATCGATATCGATCGAACTGTAGAGTTGGTGCCGGATGGATCAAGTTTACAATAGGCACAAATAGGTAGGTATAGAACATTTCTTGGGCTCACATGGTGGATATCGTCAATGATCCAGCTTTGTCTCTTCAAAACTTGGAAACCTGATCTTGACACAACAAAAAAAGCCGGATCCAAGAATTTTGACGTCTGGTAAAGAGCACACCCACGTGGTGCCTTGCCCTCCATCGCAAGCTACCGAACAACGTCAAGGAACTCGTGCCGGGCCACACACTTGGACTTTCTGGCCCTAACGTCAACCGTATGATCGTGGTACGTCTTGTATGTCATTGCGCTTGAGAGACGAGAAGAAAGGCGTGTCTCGCGATGACTGTCGTGGAACAGGAATTCAATGTTTGTATTGTCTGAAGCTTCAGAGGCAGAACTCTTCTAGAACCTTGCTGCCACTCACGTTTCACCTCTTCCTCAGCTTGTAACTCTGCGCAGTAAGCAACAGCAAAGATGTACTTTGGTGCTTCCTCTCAGGGATGAGCCTAGAAGCCCAGGCCTGTGATCCCCAAAAGCCACATGCTGCGATCAGATTCAAGCACCGGCCTTGCCTCGAGAAGGCTAGATAGCTCTCGTGAGTAGGGTCCTCTATCAATCGTTGCCGTCTGCTATACCTATCAGAGACGTGCACCCTCCATGCTCCTTACTCAGTTGGGAAGCATCCCCCTGGACAAAACTGTCGATGATCTTCCCTGACTTTCGCTCGTTCTGGCGGTGGCCGTTGGCTGGCTTTGTCTTTCCCCAGGTTGGTCTTCTGTTTGTTCAGATGCCCGGCTGTAACCTGGCCAAATACGGAGACCTGGAGAGTCTTACGCGTGCTGAGCTGATCCTGATCTTACTGGCATATGGAGGAATGTGTGATTTAGCCTAGAGCTGAACAGTCCATTTGGGAAAAAGCCCTCATTCAGAGACAGAGATGCTTATCTTGATTGGCTGGCATATCACAGAGATGTGATCAGATGCAGAGCCCGTTGGTGGCCCCGCCCTCTCCCGAGATGGGGGAGAACTGTCCAATCACGTACTAGACGTCAGGCCTTCTTTTCTGTCCTTGTTCAGCCCCAGCCCAAGCCCAACGGCTGGCTTTGCTTCTGGGCCATGACGCTGATGACCACGAGTCTCTGGCCTGGGGGAGCATCTGACTATTTGATCGTTCATCGGGAATGGAAAGAGCATCATTAACTTTTGTAGTGGAACAAAGGTGATTTGTGGTTCGTTCACTCATCACAGCTCGTCACACAGGCGCTTATGAGTGGGAAAAAATAGGCGGGATGTGATGGATTCTGCAGCACCGTAGGACTCGAGTCTTCTCTTGGATGGTGTCATGCAGAGAAAAAGAATGCCCCTCACCACCATCTTTGGACATTTCCTCTCTGGTTAATTGGTCTTTGTCAGCTTGTGCCCACTACCTCTCTGCAGGTCCATCTCCTATCGGATGAGGAGACCATAGAGAAGCCTTCTGCAGGAATGCTCGTGTGTCTGGCTGGTGTAGCATCCGCATCATGATACTGCTCATGAAGCTATCACTCCACATGTGCTTCACTCGTGGTTTGCTCATCGTGGGGGTATCTCAATAACTGTGGAGGCATCTCTCTCAGCGTTTCTTAATCCTTCACCGAATATCTCGTTCTCTAATTCATGATTGTTTACTATCATGAGTCTCCAGGACATTGATCAAAAAGCCATAGCAACGAGATTCTGTATCCACAGAGAGCGGGCTCCAGGGGGTGAAGCGAGACTCTAGGAACGTCGTGCAACTTGGGCTGCTTGGAAATGCAGGCCTCGTGATGCCATGGCCTGCGCCCACTATCACTATCCGGCACCACAAGGGGTCTCTATTCAGGGATATCTGCTGCAGCAGGTCGCCTATTGCACTAGATTGATGAATAGAATCGCGCGCTACCAGAGTTACAAACCCATCGTGGAGATGGTCTCCGTACCTTGCTGGAGCTCCCAGCTGCATCGTTTGATCAAGCGAGCTGAGCATCAAGCTAAAAAGCTCATGGGATGCTGTCGCTATAGTGATTACATGCAAGTTTCTTGAAGCAATTGACCGCCGCATGTATTCTCCGAATATCACCAGGGCACAGCTAGGGAGCTTGGCTTGTTCTTAGCTCCAGAGCTCTTGAGAGCTCAAGACGTCGATCCCTGGAGCTCTACACACCGAGTAATTGATCGACGATCTAGGTTTTTTGTTCTCGTGGTGGGAGGAATCATTTGCACTTCATGCAATCGTTCTCGGTGCAGGCATGATGCTGTCTTGCAATTCATGCCCAGATGGCCTCAGCGGTGTTCAGCCCAACGAGGAGCAAGCCAGTCAGCCCATAGATGTTGATGATCCAATGAGATGGGGTGAGAGGACTTATCGACTGTTGAAAAGTGACATGTCGTTGTTTGGGCTATGTATGTTTGCACTTTGGTCGTCCAATCTGAGAGAGGCTCCAATACACACAGTAGCTTCACTTTGGGGTCGAGTTTGCCCTAGCATCGGTTTATTCTATTCTACTCTGCTTAGCCTCATGGAGACAGTTTTCAATCACTCGATATCAGCCTCGCTTCAAATGCTGAGATAGAAACCATCGTTCTCGCTCAGCACCGCCTCGTGTAAGCTATTCAGCTGGGTTAGATACAGCTTTTGGTTGCTAAATTAGAGACGACACGCCAGTCATCAGCCTCACCGCCTCTGGCTTCGTCCCGCTCCTTCCCGCTTCCGTTCCCCTCCCGCTGGGCATCTTTCAGCTACCGATCGGGCTCCGTGATGACCGTCCGTCGTCTGTCGTCTGCAGTTAGAGGACCCGTTTCATCACGGGGGTTTACGAACGCCTGAGGCGTATCATGGGAACCGATGTTGCTTTTGCTGGGCCGATTGCATTGTCAGGATGTTCCTGGGCTGATACTTACAGACAAAGAAAGTTTACGGAGTCGTCGGATTGATCAATGACATCTCCACTCGGACCCTGAATTGACGATGGATGGATGATCTGGTGAGACTGAGACCCGGAGGATCGGATGCCTCACCTCATCATACATGAACATTGTGGCTCATTCTTACGACGTTCGCACAAGCAATTCATCAGCTTTCATCAGCTACCGCGGGCCCCGAGATAGTAGATTCACGTTGACGTTGGATCTCAACAGAAAGATTCAATTGAAGGGTCTTACTCGCCACTACCAGCCACTTCGATTAAAGAGGTACCTTGATTGTAAGCTTTGTGCAACCGAAAAATCAGGTACCGAATTTTCGTACACCACTACGGAATCGCCTTCTACTAAGACTGATTGATTATTCAACTGAAACTGATTCTTTCGGACATGGAGATTACTCAAATCCAGTAATTGATTGATCTAAAACCCGACCCCGAACCTGACCCTGCATCCTTGAAAAAGATGATCATAATCATGCTCAATCCGTTCTTCGTTCTTCGGCTCACACTGATTCATCGCGCTCCGCGGCCGATTTCTCAGCCATTTCGCGCAACGAAACAGTGACGCGGTACTTGAGCGATAACTTGACTCACCAAACCTGGTACACTTAGCTCCGTAGACCTCGCCACTAAGACGCATGTACCTCGACGTGTCTCGACTCGTAAGACCGCGTACCTCTTGCAAACCGCGCCACAAGCCCACTTGTCATTGAATCGGGCAGGACTGCCAGCGAGCCATTTCAGTGCAAAGGGGCCCTAGGAGGCCGTACAATTGACCACTAACGGCCGGCGGACCTCTCACTAACCCGGTATCAGTGCGGGCTGCCAGCAATTCCCGTCTGC